GGAATCGGATGTCCAACCTCCCCGAAAAACACCGGAAGATTCGCCGGCGAGCCACCATACACAGTCTGTCCATGAGAAAGAAATATTAAACGATCCAACAAGCTCAAAATCCTATAACTGGGTTGGTGAATGGACATGACCACAATGCTCCCACTCTGAGCTATTCTCTGCAAAACCTTCACCACCATGAAAGCACTCGTCGAGTCAAGCCCTGAAGTTGGTTCATCAAGAAACAGAACAATGGGGTCGTGAATTATGTCAATTCCAATAGAAACTCTCCTTCTTTCGCCTCCAGAGACGCCTCTGTGGCCCTCATCGCCGATCACAGTAGTGGCAGCGTTTCGAAGGCCTAGTTGGTCGATCAGAGCCTGAACCCTAGCTTTCTTCTTGGACTTTGATAAGCTGCGAGGAAGCCTAAATTCAGCTGAGAACATAAGAGTCTCTTCAACTGTAAGCATTGGGAACAAAAGATCGTCTTGCATGACATAAGCTGATATCACTTTCAAGAGCCTTGAGTCTAAGGCCTCTCCGTTTAATGTGATCGAGCCTTTCAAACTGTCCTTGGAGATTCGATCCGCTAAAGCATCGATCAGCGTTGATTTTCCGGACCCACTTGCCCCGAGAACCGCCATGAGCTCGCCTTCCCTAGCCTCCCCGGAGATGCCATTTAGTAAAACTTTGGTGTTGGCGTTGGCGTTGCTGCTTCCCAATTTGACCTCTGCCGTAGTGGATTTAGCACCGAAACACGAGGGTATTAAGTTCACTTTGCGTCCGACTTTGACGCTATATGTAAGATTGGTGAAGGAGAGGACAAAAGGGTAGGAGGAGCGAGGGACAGAGCTGCAAGGAAAGCCTAACTCAAGAATATGATGATCATGATCAGGGCTTTGTGCATCTTCAACACACTTGAGAAGCTCCCCAAGTGTAGGGTTTATGCCACGGCGGATTCTAGGGCTAAACTCCTTGAGCTCCATTTTTGGGTGGGCTTGCTAACTAGTTAGAGAACAATTTGAGAGCAAAGATTTATAGGTGGTGGCATTTCGATGGTCATTGTGTTTGGTGGATTTAAGTGTCCAACCGTTGATTGCGTCAATGCTTGCTTTAGTTGGTCAGAAGAGAAGAGGAGAGAGAGGAGAGTTGTGCTTTATACAGCTTTCTTTCTAGCTCTACACTAAGTTACCAAGTCCAAGGGGGCTTTTGGAACTATATGTAACTAATGCATTTCTATAGTTTTGGTGCTAAAATGCCAACTACCACCCCAAGATTTTATGTACTTTCTTAAACCTCATAAATAAAACTAGATTTTGATGGATAGATAATGATGAAAATGAACATTCGGACATTAAAATTGAGTTTTCAAGTATTCACTATACTAAATGCTTCAAAACTATCAACCAAGCTAAATTAAAATATATATATGTGTGTGTGTGATGTAACTACGGAATTTGGGATTTTCATGGCAACTGAAGAGTTGCATACGATAGCATCATTATTAAGGGTCTGTTTGAAAGCGCTTCTTTGTATGAAATATTTTTGCATAGTATTGTTTTTATTAGTAACACTTTTGTTTGAAGCACATGAAAGGTTTTGATTGAAACTCAAGTGCACGCATACTCATTGTGCAAATGTTTCTCAAGGAGGCACTATATAAATGCTTCATGGCAACTGAAGAGTTGCATACGATAGCATCATTATTAAAGGTCTGTTTGAAAGCGCTTCTTTGTATGAAATGTTTTTGCATAGTATTGTTTTTATTAGTAACACTTTTGTTTGAAGCACATGAAAGGTTTTTATTGAAACTCAAGTGCTCGCATACTCATTGTGCAAATGTTTCTCAAGGAGGCACTATATAAATGCTTTTTTAGAAATTGGATTTCAGTCAATCGTTATAAATAAATAAATAAAACATTTTTGTTATGTAAAAGAGAGTTTTCAGTGTATTGTTACGTGGTGGTTTTAATTATAGTCACCCTATGATCTAGTCAGCTGGTAGACCTAGAACATACAAAATTTTCTCCACCAGTGCTCGACAAAATTGCTGGGTTGTCCAAATCGAAAGAAAACCTTAAATTATCTTGTTTGTTTCTTCTGGCCATCACCAAACTCATTTTATTGGACAACGTAGGTTTCTTTTTGCTCACTTGAATTAAAAAGTTGAAAAGGGACAGTTCATGTGATGGAAACATCCAAAGGAAAAAGTTTTCAAAATAGGAGATTGTATATGCAATGCAATATACATCAGAGTCCTGGTTGGTTGCAGCGAAACTCAAACTCAATGGTAATTGGACCAAAATGCGTGGCATTTTAATTCTCTATTAGTTTATTTTATAGGGTTGGTTTGTCATGGAAGAGTGCCTTTTCCTAATTATAATCTATTTTGTATACACGCCTTCATTTCTTCACGAAAACCCCATTTCTACGCATGACAAGATGTATTTTGTGCAACTTTCCTGGCTAATTACTTGTTATATTTAGTAAAAAATATATCTCTCTCTGCATGTAACATATCTTATCTGCCTATGTTAGGTGAGGGTGTTACATCTGCTCTAGACTGGCTGTGTGGGATAAATGGGTGTTCATCTACTGTGGACTGACTGTGTGGTATGGTTGGTTGTTAGGCAAGAAATATAGAAATGGGAAAAAGTAAACTTCGGGTTATTGACCATTTGAGTTAAATTAATATACATACTTGAAAATGGCACATAAAGGAGAATGATGAGGACGACAGTCGAACTCTAACCGTGACTTAATGGTTCAACATCTTCGACGAAATTAATTGTACATTAAGAAAATCTCCCTCCATGACTTCTCGTTTTTGGGTTTCTGACGATCCCTATCCCTTGGATAATCTCTTTTTCTATCAAAATAATCTACAATCTTTCCAGAAGCTTGTGTGTCAAAGATGCCCCTTCTATCTGCTGATACATATAATATAGGTGTCTTTTATTGTAGGCAAGAAAATATATACATACCCAATAGAAGAAAGCAAGCAAGCTTTTTGTTTTATCAACATGGGTGTGTAGCAGTTGCGCGGAATATTGATCACACTACCGTCGTGTCATTTGCTTTCTTAGGAATCAGAGTTTGATACTTGCGCGTCTTCATCCTTTTCTTGACGACAAGGGGGAAAAAATTTCCAAGTTGGAAAGTGACATGGTCAAAAGATGATAACTTGCATAATTCTTCTATTGCATTCTCTAATAAAATGGGGTAAAAGTTAACCAGTTTTTACCAAAAAAATAAAACCTAGAAAAGAATTATTTAGATGAGGGTACGGGCAAATCAAAATATTGTTGTGACCAATTGTTCTTCAACAGCCAGACCATCCCTAAATAAAACGGGAAGAGGGTCCAGATGAGACCCCCCTGAAAGAAACTTGCTGTGTCAGAGAGACCCCCATTTCCACGGAATACCAACAATCTCTATTGTAAAATTTGGAACTTGTCTCACTCTGTCTTGGGCTTTTCTCTCCTCTTGGTTACTTGAGACCTGCTGGTCCATCTCCCGACCAACTTGAGGATCTCATCGAGGAGAATCACCGGTAATGCAACAGCCAAAACCAAGAGCCACTCATTCAAGCTCAAGGGCACAATGCCGAATACTTGAGCTAAGAATGGCACGTAGAGGATCAAAAAGTGCAGGCCGAATGAAACAGACATGGCCACAAGGAGCCAGGGGTTCACCCATGGGGGCATCGACAACAGGCTTCCGTCCTCCGAAAGGGCATTGAGGGAGTTAAACATTTCGATGGCAACCAACACGGAGAGGGAGAGTGTCATAGCTTTCACTTTTCCACTATGGAAATAATCACAGGGGTCATTCTCGAAGGAGATAACCTGAGTTCCAGCTGTGAAGGGAGAAGCAGTAAAGTTCGTCCAAGATGAGCACTGTCCCCAGTTGGCAAGTTGGGAGTAAGTCACAAGAGAATGGCCATCCCCACTGAGGTCAATACCCAAGAAGGAACCATGTGTATACCAAATAATGAATACGCCAACAGTTGCCACACCAACATACATCCCAATTACCTATCCAGCCAAAGATTCAAGAGAGAAGATTAGAGAGAATGTTCTCAGGTGAAGTCATTCAAACAGTGACATCAAAATGCAACAAAACGGAAGAAAGAAGAAAATGAAAAGTTACCAAATAGCGGAATAATATCCAAGCGCTGATAAGTGAATCATCACTTCTACGTGGGGGCTTCTTCATTATGTCTTTGTCTGGAGGATTAAATCCTAATGCTGTTGCAGGCGGTCCATCAGTAACAAGATTCACCCACAAAAGCTGGACAGGTATGAGGCCTTCGGGAATGCCTAATGCTGCTGTTAAGAATATGGAGGCAACCTCACCAATGTTCGATGAGATCATGTACCTGAAACAGGGTTTAAAACTTGAAATCAGGGAAGCATACATGTCCAGGCATCTAACAAAGAGGAAACCTAAGTGAATTAACAAAATTTCCAGGGTTAAATGTCAATATTATAAATTATCAAGATCTGTGGTCACTTCACCAGGCAGGGTATAGACAACTGGAAATCATCAGTGACACCACCATGCAATATGAATTTCTTTCTTATTCATTTGTTTATTATACCATGGTTTTGTCTTTTTATCAAAACCTTTTTATATTATCATTCAGGAGCATTTTATATGTGTGGCAGTAGAAAAAACGCTGGACAAATTTTCAGACGAAAAGAAAAACCATTGTTTTAGTCACATCTCTCTAAACGCCAAAAAAAACACAGATAACAAACGAACCTGATAAAAGCTTTCATATTGTTGTAGATAGATCTGCCTTCACCAACGGCAGCAACAATTGTGCTAAAATTATCATCCGCCAGAACCATGTCGGAAGCTTCCTTTGCAACCTGTCAAGGAGAAGAGATTGGAAAGTTTATGGTATGAAAGTGGTGAGACTGTCTAGAAGGAAATAAAGAGTTAGTTAATTAAGCTAAAAAAATTAATGAGCAATTAACATTTAAAAGACATCATTAACAATATATCTATGGTTCCGTATCCTTAGCCCTAATACTCATATGTTGGTAACAGGGGTGCTGTTTCACATAGCATTCCATTTACATCTCTAAAAATGAAATCCCAAACAAGAAAATACTATATGCCACTTATCAATTTGCTTTGATGCATGTAATTACTAAACTCACTGTAAATTGAAGATTTAATTCATGCACTTACCCTGTTAATATATTAAGTTACCTCTCCTAGTGGTTTTGATATGTAATTAAGTGCCTCCTAACAGAAAAAACAACTAAATAAATTACCTCAGTTCCAGAAATGCCCATTGCAATCCCAATATCAGCAAGTTTCAAGGCAGGTGCATCATTCACTCCATCACCAGTCATGGCAACCACCTCACCATCCTCTTTGAGCAGCCTAACAATCTCTTGTTTGTGCTTTGGTTCGGCCCTTGAAAACAAAAGTCCCCCACTTTGTTTCAGATAGGCTTTCTGATCAGGCAGACACATAAACTCTCTTCCTGTAATGCTTCTTGGCTTAATGTCTTCACCATCACCAAACACGCCTATTTCATGGCATATTGCTTCTGCTGTGTTCTGGTTATCTCCAGTAATTACCATAACACGGATTCCAGCTGCTCGGCAGTCTTCAATCGCATCGAAAACCTCCTCTCTTGGGGGATCCTTCACAAATTTATACAACAATCGAGTTAGATCAAAAAATGATAATATGATGAAATGAATTGGTAAAAAGATGCAGAGAGGCCATATTACAACTCACCCTCAGTCCAACCAGGCCAACAAAAACAAGGTTGCTCTCAATTGATGAATAATTGGATGGATCAAGTAAAAGTCTATGAGCTGGATGATCTTCATCACCGTCATAGGATTCAAAATCGGCGAGCTCATCTTTATAAGCAAAACCCAGACAGCGTAATGCACTAGTTGACATCTCATTAAGAGCTTTTACAATAGTGTTCCTTGAGTTTTCATCCAGTGGTACAACAGTACCGTCAAGCAACTGAACCTTAGTGCTTCTCTCCAACACATTTTCTACAGCACCCTGCAATAATGCAGCACCTCATTTTAAAAGTCCGCAACATTTCCTTAAGATATATATTTTTACATGGAGAAAGAGCAAG